AGACAGTAAAGGGAAAAGCCCGTGGAAAGCAGGTAAAACATATTGCAGGATTGTCCAGGTGATTTTAAGTATAGCAAACTGGATTTACAACCAAGGTTAGGTTCTGTATGTGTGACTGTGTGTACACTAGACATGCTGAATATTTGCTAGATTCAGGTACTTGGTAGCAGTTTTTTTTTTTTTCAGCTTATTTTGTGGTTTAAATCAAAATTGTGTAGGGATATTTCTTAAACAGACCTTAGTTGTCACATAGACCCAGGTTTCTGAGCTTTCATTTTAATGTATGATGAACTCTAATTGTAGGGAAGACTGATATTATATAAGAGCAGAGAGATTGTGAAATCAACATTTCAGGAGAGGAATATTTTTAAGGTGTTTCATCTGCCAGTAGAAGAGGGTGAAAAGATAATATCTACTAGTGAGACAAAGCTTGTCAATATCAGAGGGGGTAGTTGTGAGAACCTAAAATTAATTCAGTACTGGTGAATATTTCTTGACTAGCAAATACTGGTTGTAGTGAAACACCCTTAACAATATAAAGCAACTGACAAGTTGAGAAGGGGCATTTCGCTGGCCATTGAGTAAAGAGACTTGTGCAGGGACTAGGTGTCCACAATTCTCCTGTGTCAAAACATGAGGTAGAATAAGAGGTTAATAATATTCAACAGAAAATGAGATACTTACTTCTACAAGCTATTTTTGATGTTGGATTATTCATCATCCTGTATCATTTAAGTAAACACAATGTTTTACATTTTATCTGAAGAATTCAAGAATGTTTACTTCTTTGACATATAATTTAAAAAGTGCTTTATACTTTTATTTCCAAGGAAACTATACTTGAAATCTTTTACTCATGAATCTGAAGATTTATTAGTAAGACGTGGGCTGAAAAATCCTTTCTCCATCAATGGTTAGGAAAATATAAAAAAATTATGCATTGTCATAGGACAATCTTCATAAGATATACATCAGGCTGTAATTAATTCTGAGAGTGGATATTCTTTTACCACTTCCTTATGAGATCTCCACCATATTTCTGGTGCTACTAAAAGCAACTTTTTCCAGCATCAGAAAATGTCTAGGAAGTAATGTCATTCAGTGACCCTGTCAACAGGAAGTAAGACAACCTAACCTGGCTTTGGACAGGCATGGTCTGGAGCATGAGTTCCCTGCCCAAGAAGTCCTTACCCTGGCAGCCAGCACCAACCCAAACAGCTGTACTCCCAGCACAGGCCTGAGGGCACAGCTCACTAACCTGCACAATCTTATTTCTCAGTGCAGGCATTTCTCACAGTTCCCATATTGTATTCCCTAGATCCAGAGCCTTTCTAAGACTAACCTGTATCAAGTAGCCTATCTTTTCAGATCTGGGCTGTCTTTCTTCATACCTTCCCTGGTACATTTGTTTTTCCACTCAATCCTATATGGTACAGCTATATTCTTCCTTGGGGGGCACTCTGAATTTTTTCTGTAGTTAAGGTGTCCAACTTGTCCTGTCACTTTCCATGTCTCTCTGTTGGAAACTTCCATTTGAAATCCATAAAGGGCAGCTTCTTTTTAGAATAAGAATGAAAGAACAGCCTCCCTAAAATGTCCCTTCTTTGAAGAAGCATTTATCCTCTTTAAAAAAAAAAAATATTTATTACTGTGTAGAAGAACTGGGGGTGCAGGCCTGTGGCGTGAGAGTGAGAGGGTTCACCAGAAACAGAGGGGAACATAATAGGAAGATTTACTGAAATACATTGCTGAGAGGAGCAGTGGGTGAGGCAGGAGTAGTCTTCTGTGCTGTGTGTGTTAGTTCCCTGGCCAGAGATGGAACTCAGGCTGTCATGGCAGGCCTTCGGGGTGGCAGTAGCTGAATCTTAACTCCTTGGTCACTAGGGAGGCCCCTTTTGCATTTACCTTCTGAAGTCTTTGCTATGAGATTTACTAGTATTTATGTTCAGTCCTAGTCCTTCGTTTAAATATACCCAAGTAAAAACCATCAAATTGTACACAAAGCTCAGATATGGTAGGAAGGAATAGGCCAACAACATCTTGTGTAGCAAATGCTCATTGTCCTTTATAGCATTTATGTTTTTCATCTTTACTGAGGTATAATTGGCAAAACTAAGATATTTAAAAGGCACAATGTGATGATTTGATAGACATGTATATATTGCCAAAGGATTCCCATCATCTAGTTAATTAATGTATTCATCACCTCACATTTATTTTTTTTATGGTAAGAACATAAATTCTGCCCTCAGCAAATCTGTTATATTATACAGTGATACTAAATATCATTATCATGTTATACATTAGAGCCTCAGATCTTACTGAGGCATTTACCAGCTTCTTCCTATCTGCTAGTTTTCGGTAACCATTTTTCTACTGTTTCTGAGTTCAACATTTCTTTAAGATTCCATATAGAAGTTATACCATGCAGTATTTGTGTCTTATTCCACCTTCTACGTCCATGTTGTCAAAAATGATAGGATGTCCTGTTCATGAAACCTGAATAATACTGCATTGTGCTGAATAATATTGCAGTGTATGTGTGTAAGCACACACAGAATTGTAAGTCACCTAAAAATGTTTCAGTTAACGAGGGACCACACACATGACAGTGCCCCAATAGGCTTTAATGTCACATAGGCAAGTAGTTAGGCTGTACCATGTTAGTCTGTGTTAACTACACTTTGTGACAGTCCACAATTACAGTATCACCTCATGACACATAACATACAAACACAACCCCATTCTCACCAACCTTTTTTGCCTTTTTTTTTTTTGCCATCCTAGTAGATGTAAGTTAATATGCCTTTATGGGTTTGGTGTGCATTTGCCTAATGATTAGTGATGTTGAACATTTTTTCAAATACCTATTGGTCATTTGTATGTTTTTGCAAAAATGTTTATTCAGGGCCTTTGCTTATTTTTTAGTTGGATCATTTGGTTGGTTGGTTGGTTGGTTGGTTGTTTATTGCTATGGAGTTTTTATTAGATCCTGATATATTTTGGTTATCAACCCTTTTTCAGTAATGTGATTTACAGTATCTTCTTCTGTAGGTTGTGTTTTCATTCTGATAGTTTCTTTTACTGTGCAGAAATATTTTCTCTTGAATTAGTCCCAATTTATTTTTGCTTTTGTTGCCTTTGTTTTTGGTTTCAAATCTAAAAAGACTGATGTCAAGGTATGTTATCCTGTTATAAAAAATTGTAAATTTTATGATTTCATGTCTTGTATTCAAGTTTTTAATCCATTTTGAGTTAATCTGTGTGTTTGGTATAAAGTAGGGGTTCTTTTGCATATGAATATCCAGTCTTCTCAGAACCACTTATTGAAGCTACTATCCTTTCCCCACTGCACAGTCATGGCCCCACTGTGGAAAAATTGTTGTGTATATATATGTGTATGTATATGTATGTGTGTGTGTGTGTGTGTGTATATTTATAGGTTTACTTCTATGTCCTGTATTCTGTCCCATTGATTTAGGTGTCTGTTTTTATTTCAGCACCATACTATGATTACTAGAGCTTTGGATAGGTTAAAACCAGGAAGGGTGATATCCTCAGGTTTGTTTTACTGTCTCAAGATTACTTTGGCTATTTGGGGCCTTTTGTGATTCCATACAAATTTTAGTATTATAAGCTCTATTTCTGTAAAAAATAACAATAGAATTTGGATAGGGATGCACTGAATCTGTAGATTGATTTGTGCTATATGGCAATTTAATTATTAATTTTTCCAGTCCACAAACACAGAATATCTTTCCATTTATTTGCATCTCCTCACATTTCTTTCATTAGCATATTATAATTTTCAGTGTATAGATTTTTCACCTCAGTTAAATTTACTCCTAAGTATTTTTTTTTAAGATTTATTTATGCATATAAGAACTGGGGTGTAGGCCAGAGGTGTGTGTGGAAGTGAGGGCGTGGGAGGTGAGACGATTTACCAGAGACAGAATGGGGAGCATAACCAGTGGACTGACTGAAATACATGCTGAGGGGAACAGTGGGTAAAACAGGAGCGGCTTGCTGCACCACGTGAGTTAAGATTCCTGGCTGGGGATCAAACTTATGCCACAGTGGCAGGTGCTAGCTTCACAGTGCTGAAACTCAACCCCTTGTGCAAACTATTGAGGCCCTTCCAAAGTATTTTAATTCTTTTTGATGCTGTTCTACATTTTTATCTGGCTGGAATTTTGAAATCTGGCATAGAGAGAATATTATCATGGGTCATTTCACCTCACACATTAATATAGTTCTTAAATGTAAGCATTTTCTGTCTAGAATTACCACCTCAGTTTGATCTAAAGAGCAAGAGCCACTCAAATTTGACCTACTTAGACCAAAGTCTCACTTGCAAACACCCCATGCTAGAAGAAAAGCAGAGTGTAGTCTTCTTGGCTGTCAGCCACAGGAGTCCTAGGTTACCCTGGCAATGAGGCACAAAACTGTGACGAGCCTGACCAGCAAAACAGAAAGGAGGCCAAGGAAAACCCAACCTAACTTACAAAGTAAACAACATATTTGAGCTCATACAATGAAATAGTAACAAACATTATTAAAATTAGAAAACATTAGAAAAATTTATGATTGTATAGTCTATAAACAAGTCCTTGATGTAAAACATCAGCTACTCACTAAAATAGAATGTGCTCATACTAATTAGTTTACATACAAATAGCATTTACAAAGGTACCTTTTCTGAATTAAATTATTCCTTAGACCTGTATTTTTGTGTAGTTCTGACTCTGCTCTCTAATAGGATTATGTCCTGGTTTCACTTTTATTTTTGAATATCAATTACATTTTAACATTGTGCTTTTTAACATATGTCTGATCATGATGTGCTATAGTGTTTTATCATTATCATTCCTTTTAAATGAGGTACCAGGAATATATTTTTAATAAGACAGAAAACCAGGAAACAATGGACACTTTGACAGTAAGTCTAGTTTTACATGTTAGAACTGAAAAAAAGTTTAAGTGACACTTTACATATTTTCAGGTTTTTAATAATAGCTATTCAATAATTTAACAATTATTTTACTGAGAACCTTCAAATTTCCCATAAAAGCCAAGATTTAGTGAGCTTACTTTCAAATACATCTTTCCAATAAAGACAACCAGCTAAGAAATAAAACAAAAAAAACCTGACAATGTGTACCTCAAACCACTTGGAAGCTTTTAATGAAGAGGAGTCTTCTCTTGCATACTAAGAAGGCTGGCCACACTTAGTCCAGAATCCCTGAATAATGATTTGCCTCTGAAATTTCCCTTATGGTTTTGTAGTGTTCCATTTATACCCGTAGCACTCCAGGACCAATGCTAATCCAGCAGCACTTTTCAGGTAATTGAAAATATAATTTTCAAATATAATCTATGCATAATATCATGATTACAGTATATTGGAAGGAATGAAAGCTTAACAAAACCTTACTGAAACCTAATTGAGAGTCTGCTATTATAGCTCAGTTTTCATAAAGTGCTTTTAAAGGTACTGAACATTATAAGCATAATATGAAAAGGGAAATTGAATTCTTAATTTTTGTTCTGAAAATTTTCACTCTTAAAATAGCAAACATGGGGGGAAAATTGGTTAAATTCCCCCATATGTAAACTATTTGTAATCCATTCAGGTCTTTTATGCTTCATTTCTTTACTAAAAACCTGGTAATGTCTGATCCATGTTTTGATGCTAGAGAATGTCTTCTCATCTGGCTTCTTTCCTTGGCTTGTCTGGTAGTTCTCTAAAAATTAAAAAAAATATATATATATGCACAGATATATATTAGGAAAAATGTACGGATTATAGAAGTCAAAACTTGTATATTCTGTTTATCTGGCAAAATCAACCGCCACTACACACCTCTACTGCTTTGCTAGTAGGATCAGTGACCTAACTGCACCTCTACTGCTTTGCTAGTAGGGTCAGTGACCTAACTGCAAGGCAGAGGATCTCAGTGGCTTCGGTAAGTGCCCCAAGGCTCTAGGTTCACTTAGCACCAGATGCTGTGAAGAAAGCACACACTTTTGGGGATGTTTTGCTACTCAATGAGGCTGTGAATTCTACATCAGGGAACAACAAAGGACATGGTTTTCCTCATCCAATGGGAGCTTGTAAGCAATCTTAGGATGTCCTAGAGCACAGTGTATGCAGAGTGCTTCTGTTCTGTGTAAACCATTTGTCATCTACTCTATGTATGTCTACTCTCTGGGCTTAGAAGCCATTCTTAACCTAACAGTCAAGCCAATGCAGAAAAATAAAATGAGATGAACCAGGACTAGGTTCCTTTGCTGCATGTACAAATTTTTTTCATGAGAATCAGCAGAAGTAATTACAGAAGGTACTGCATTTCCTTTTGCTTATCTTTATTATGTTAATAGATCTTGACTTTGCTAATAACTTGCAGAGCTGAGAAAAAACAGGACTTTTTTCCCAATTGAATTCCAGAGGTGGGAAGAGAAAGGTGGTTAAAACTAAAAACCATCTAAAATATTAAGAGACTAATATTGTGAACATTGGCAAAGGTTCTGAACAGTTCTAAAAGTATAAATATAACTGATTAGCATTTTAAAAAAGTATCTTCAATAATAAAAAAAAGTAATGACAGGCCATTCTTCCACCACATCAGCACTAATTGGTGTGGTCAAATGGGCACTCACTGGCTACTGGAGGAAAAACAGTACAATTCTTTGGGAAACAATTTGGACAATAAATCCACAGTGTAAAAAATACCAAACACTGTAACTCAGTGATTTTACATTTGAGAATGAGGAATGATTTCAAAATGTAAAATACATCTTGTATACAAAAAATGTGCTTGGTAGTATTAAGTGTAAGAGCAAAAACAATGCAAACAACGTAAATGTTCATCAATGTGAGAATATCTAAACTATAGTAGAGATTACTTAACAGAAGAAGGTGCAGCCATTTCAGATGATAAACGTTAGGAATGCTTATCATGGGGACATGAAAATGGTGCTTACATCTAATCAGTGAAAAAAAAAACTAGAATCAAAATTGTATTCTGAATATATTCTTTCTAATATCTTAACAGTTAGATCCTGGTTTTTACAGGGCTGCCTGTTAAAAATTCATCCATTTTGGTAAACATACTGTCATCTTTTTTGCTCTTGTTTTAAGTAACAGGTAGTGACTCAAAAATGTGCCAAGGCTAATAGGTTTCATAATTTGGTATAATGTTTGCATGTTGAACTGGGTTGGTAATAGACATACTTTATTAATCTCAGATATTTCAGGACAACTTTAGCTGCAAATGAAGACCTGTCACTGCCCAATTCATGAAACTGCTAGTTTGAGCATCTGGGTATCTTTAAAATTGGGCAAAATGTAAGCTGTAATTATTTTCTTCCAGGTGGTGGTGAAAATTTCCTGGTCCTAGAATGACAATAAAAGGAAGGAGCTTCTTTATTCTCTGTGACTGAGAACTTAAACAGGCCCGAGAGGAAACTCAAGTACTATGTGATGAAAGGAATAAAATACACCTGGGGCACAGGGATACAGATTCATCCCCATAACCTTCCACAAGTGAATGCACAATTTTCAATTTCATATCTCAGCAAGAAATCAGGTGTGCAAGCTTCACTGACCTCTTTGTGACAGACGGTACAGAGAGTCTGCAGGTTGTCCAGGGAGCACTGTCCTCCTCCCCCAGACACTGGCTTGATGTGGTCCACCTGCCAGAAGTGCCCTTCCCCTGGGTTTCTTATCATTTCATTAAGCTGCAATAAGAAAACAAGATCAGCAATTTTCAACATACACTGTTGGTTTTGCATTGTGCAGCCATGTTTATACAGCAAAATCATAGGAAAAAATATATTAGGTTGCCTTTTTATAGCTTTCATTGTGAGTCGGAAAAACCCTCTAGGTTAGCAGTTTGAAAGCATTACGATACGTCTCTGAGAGCTTTTCTTCTCCCTCTAACATATTTTGAAAAAATTACAAGCAAATATAAAATATCAAGACTCCTGACAGATGGGGAAAAAAATCAGTTGATTCTGTACCTTTCAGCTAGTTTATGTAGTCACTAAAGCAGAAATGAGACAACAGTAGATCTGAAATTGAAAACTTCTATCACTGACTCACTCTTTAGTTGTTGACCTAGATGTACTCATCATTACACCAGTGACAGTTTAATATGAATAGCTATTATCTGGAATTTTATTCTATACACCTGGAAACCTCCAAAGTTACATGGACTGGAATGAAATATCTGGACTCAAAGATGTCCAGTTAAAGCAGCCACTATTTAGGTCGGTTCATATATGTACACTTTATATTTAACTACTGATAACCTACATTAAACTGGGGTGTATTTTAACATTTTACCCAACATTGTAAACCAGCATACATCATCTCAGAGTAGTTGTTTAACTATCACAAAGATGAGTTCAAAAAGTTGTTTCTGTTTCCTTACACTTGGACATGAAAAAAACTGCAATCAATCTGATGACTGCCAGCTATGTAAGTCAGTGTCAGGGCCCTACTATGCCTACCTGAGGAGCTCCTGGGGCAGCTAGGTGCTGTGGTAAACTTGGTCTAGCCAAAAATTATTCCAGACTAATTTACCATTCTATTCCGGATTGAATTTCTCAAATTCTGTTAGAAAATAAATACTATTTTTTTTGTCTATTTTTGAGGTTGGCACTATTAGAAGCAATTACAAATGGCCATCTTACATCAAGAAAATGGCACATTCCTAAGGGAAAAATTCACTTTGGTTCCGTATTTTGTAACCAACTCTTGCTCTGGGCAGTCTTCGACATCCTGAATTCTTATCTTTAAAGTTAAATTATTTCCTCTCTGACTTCTGCTCTGTGTCTGAGAACTGGTAGTCTTATCCTCTGAGCACTTTGGAGTCTACTTCTGTATTCCTCACAGATAATTTCAAGGTATCCTTGAGTCTTTCATGTCCTCTGAAAGTCTATACACTGAAGCAGCCAACAGTGAATAGAGTCTGGCTTACACCCTGGGGTTGGGAGCAATATGTCCCTAACCAATTAGATTAAAGGATCTTTCAGAAACTCTGGTATCATTATTGAAACAATGCTTTTCCCTCACTTTCAAAATCACACTAATTCATCTTTGCAGAAATGCTTCTTAATTCTGTCACACTTCAGCAACACCAGGGAATAAAAATATATTATTTGACAAATGGCAAAAATTTATCCAACATTTTTAGTAGGAAGAGAGGTGCAGAAGTGATTATCAAAAATTAAGCACACTACAAAATTAATCTGAAATGTATAATTGTTTAGATCACAACAAATCTGATTTGGGGAAATCACAGTTACTATTGAGGATATTAAACTAAATAGCTTTATCATAAGTTGCTTTACTAAAATTACAGTTTAAAGTGGCATGAACTAAATACATTTCCATCTCACATAATGAACTACATTTTGAGTCATCTGCCCATTGTCTTTCAATATTAACATCACAAAAAGTGGAGCCATAGTTGTCTCTTGATACAACATATCATCTGTTAAGATCTCCTCTACAAATAATTTAATTGGAATCTACATAAGCATCTAGAGTTTATAAACATGATTCAGAAAGTTTATGGATAGAGAAACATTTCAAACATGGATACAGGTAGACAAATCCAGAATGAGGGAAATTCTATGACAAATGCCCTAGTTTCCTCTATATCCACAGGTAAACAAAGGTATGGGGTTCTAATAATATATGTTTAGATCATAAGAAAAACTGGAACTTAAGAGGTATAAATGATCACAAGCAATGTATTGGTCATATTTTGATTCTAACAAAGCAACTATATAAAGACATTTTGAGATAATCTGGGAAACTAAAAATGGACTTACTTTATAATTAAGGAATAATTATATTAGGTACGATAATGGGTATTGGGGTATGGGATTACATAAGGATGGGAATAAATGGAAGGAAGGAAAGAGGAAAGGAAAAGACAAAGGAACAAGGAGACTCGAGTGAGATACACAGTGAAACTTTGAGAATGAAAAGACTGGAATTTGCTTTAAAGTAATTCTAGTAATATCATATATGCACATATTGATTTGCCATGATATGCACTGTAAAGTTAAATAATGTTATAATGTTACCTTAATTAAAAAAAATTTAATGAATACTCTGAATATTAGCACTGCATAATGGTAGGTACTCAGAAAAAATTCCAGGAGAAAAAAAAAAAGAATTGCAGTGGTAGATGAAAACGAAGGGGAAATGCTGATAACTGTTTTGGTTGGGTGATGGGTATTTGGGTTATTTATTATTCTTGCTTGCTCGCTCTATATGTACACACACACACATATATATGTATGTATGTATCCATGTGTGTACATTTGAAAATTACCATATTAAAAAGCTAAAGAAGTCAATATTCATCACACACTTTCATGCTGCCTTGTGTCACATGATTATAATTTACCTGTTCTAATGGGAGCTTGGAAGTCCAGGTAATATCCAGCAGATTCTTTCTTTGACTTTTAGGGGCATCTCTCAGACGTAAGAAGAGTTCTTGTGCATTTAGATGACATAGCTGACACACACCATGTTCAATTTCAAATACTTTAGCTCGCAGATAGCTGTTATTAGATCGAATCCAAAATTCCTCCTGACACTGCAGAGAGCAAAACCGTGAATCCCAAGCACTCACTTTACACTCTTGCTCAGTTTGGCATGTGGGTTGCTGACAACGGAGGCAAAGTGGATTTCCTTCATTATCCACAGCTTGCACATAGCCTTTGGATGTAGAAGGATTCTTAGTGAGATCAGCTTGGGCAGTGCAGGGATTTAAAAATGGGACAGAGGCTCCATCTTCAAGAAATTTTCTAGATTAAACAAAACAATGAGTAAACAACTAATGAGCACAAATTGTAGTCTAAATAGCCATTAACACTGCAATATCTATCCTGCCAGACAGCAAGCATAGATTCTGTCAATAACTGTGGAAACAAAATACCTATAGTTAGTACTTGATATTCCATTCAAACTAAAGGAAAGAACTGTGTGTCAAAAAAATATTTGGGAATTAAATGTGCTACCTCTCTTGTGAATTCAGAATTTTTCAAGTTAAATAATCAGACTTTGAAACATCTAGAGAAGCTGAAAAATAAGTCAATACTTCTTCAGGTTGGAAAAAGTTAATGTTAAAACCCCAACTGAAGTCAACAGCTACTTAGTTCACTAAATAAATGCCTTGGGTCACACACCCCAAAAGAGAAAGTGGCCATTAAGTTAACTTTTCCATAACTAAGGCTTTCCAGCCTCTTGGCCCACAGGAAACAGTGGCATGCAGTGATGATGGGAATTAGACCAGAAGACTTGCTAAATGTATACTTCCTGCAGGTAAACTCAAGAAAGAGTTGACTGAATTAAAATTAGAAGTGAACAATGACAAGAAATGCACTCTATATTAGAATAAAAGGAAACGGTATGTGAGTCAATTCTGATGAAAAGTCCTACATGGAAATTACAAATTTCTATGCTTCTTTGTTAAAAGTAGTTAAAAGAAAAAATTCTTATGCTAGAAAGAGCTCATGATTGGAGAGCAGAATCCAGATCTGACGTTGGGTCTCCTAGCATCTGGTGGCCGGGGGCAAGTCACTAATCCATCTGGTCTCAGGGTCCTTCCTGGTCTCTAATTTTTAAGTGAGGATGTTGTGTGCCTCACAGGGTTTTTAGGAAAACTGCAGAACTAGCAATAATGTGAAAATTCTTTGTTACCTGTAAAGTCTCCACACAAAGTATTACCACAAAAACAAATACATAAAATTAAAGAAGTAGTCTTAGCTCTACAGTGTCCTACTAGTAAATAAAACCTTACTTTGCAGAAAGGTGCTGTGACCTGGATTCTTTTGTAATCAGACGGACATGACCCCCATCATTCTTCACCTTGTCCATTGAGGCCATGGCAACATCTTCTTTGGTTATATATCTAAAACAATGAAAATGTTAAGTAGCTTCCTCTTTCTACTTTATGAGTGTTCTGCATTAGATGCTCACAGCAGGGTTCTTTACAAAAGGGACAGTAGAAAAAGCAAGATACAAGTCTATTCATTGTTAGAAAATAGAGTTTTTTTCCTTTTTTACATTGGTGTCCACCAGTGGGAAACACAACCCTTTGTTTCAAATGAGTTTTCTCAAAATTTATTTTTCTAAGAAATTAAAGTCATTCACATTCTTCACTCAGCCAGTTCTCACCAAGGGAAGAAAAAAAGTGGGTGTAGAATAAGAAATGATCAAATATACACACAACCAACAGCTTTCAGCTAACTGCTTTCTAAGCTGTGCAGCAAAATTCTAACTGCATTTTTACCTTCCTCTTGGCCTCTTCTTATGATTCCTCACCTTAATCAAGTATAATAGTATATCAGTGTATTTGAGTAAAGTAATTCTCTTTTTAGTTAACCAGCTTCAGTCATAATCTCAAGGTTATTTCCATTATCATCAGCCCATGTAGGGTTTATGGAATATTCCACTGAAATAAAGTCACTCTTGATGTGGGATTCAGAACCTTATTACACAACACTATCAATATCACACAATGGTTAGGGAATGGAAGTAAAAAGGAAAGTTATTCCAATTAAAGGTGATAGGGGAATTTAAGTAGCTGAAATGCAATTACCCAATTAATTCCACCTAATTAGCATGGCCTAGTTTCCCTGGTAGTTTATACCTATTGTAGTTCTTTTTTTTTTTTTAAATTAATTTAAACATAATTTTTTCATATTATTTTCAGGTACTTCTTCATTTAGTAGTTTGACAATCAAATTAAAGCTAAATCATAATGGCATTGTGCAACCGCAGATAAAATTTTAGAAATTAGCTGTTATGTTGCTGAAGTAAATTTAATAAACAGATACCCTTCTATTTACAAAATATCTGATAAACCTTTTTTTTTTTAAGATTTATTTATTTGTGCATACAGAACTGGTGTACAGGCCAGAATCTCAGGGGCGGTGAGAGGCTTCACCAGAGACAGAGTGGGGAACAGAACAGGCAGATCTACGAAGTACACTGCTGAGGGGAGCAGTGGGCGGGTCAGGAGAGGTCTGCCACACCGTATGGTCACCTCCAGGACAGGCTGGAATCGAACTCATGCGGAAGCGGCTTTAGATTCTCAGTGCTGTGCTTTAACCCACTGAGCCACCAGGGAGGGGCCCTGATTAACTTTTGATTAGGTGATATATGTTTATATTCAAAAGGCATACAATAGTGAATATGGTAAAGAGTATATCTGCCATTGTTTCTCATCCTTCCTCCCCCTGGCTCTTTAAAAGCTACCTCTGTTGTCAGTTCTTAATATCTCCTTTTAGAAATGGTCTGTTATTTCTGTGTGGAGGTTGTTTCACATATTATATAATTTACTGTTTCAAAGTTTACAATTCAGAACATTTCAGTTTATTCACAAGGCTGTAGATGCATCATCACTGTCAAATTTCAAACAATTTCATCATCCCAAAGAGACTCATTACCAGTCATTCCGCTTTGTACCTTTACTTTTAAAAATAAATTGTAGTACAATATCACACTAACTTCATCTCTTTTTTAAAATCTAGATTTACATGTCAGAGATCTTTCGTATTAGTGAGCATAGAGTTGCCTTATCTTTTTTTTTTTTTTACAGATTTATTTATTTGTGCATACAGAACTGGGGTACAGGCCAGAATCTCAGGGGCGGTGAGAGGCTTCACCAGAGGGAGGAGCAGAACAGGCATATCAACAAAGTACACTGCTGAGGGGAGCAGCAGGCGGGTCAGGAGAGGTCTGCCACGCCATGTGGTCACCTCCGGGGCAGGCGAGAATCGAACTCATGCGGAAGCGGCTTTAGATTCTCAGTGCTGTGCTTTAACCTGCTGCCCCACCAGGGAGGGCCGAGTTGCCTTATCTTTTAACAGTTGTATGTTACTCCATTATTTGGGCAAATCATGTATTTAACTAACTAATCTCTGGTTAGTGGGCATTTAACTTGTTTCTATTGTCTGCTATCACAAATAATGTTGTAATTACTATCCTAAACATCATATGTTCTATACATGAAGTATATGTAAGATAAATTCCCAGAAGTAGAATTGCTGGGTTAAAGGGCTTTGATTTGGACACATTTTGACACATTGCTTTCCTTTGGGTTTGTACCAATTTTCAGGTCCACCAACAATGGATGAGAGTATCTGCTTTATTATACTTTTACTAGCACAAGCTATGCTGGCAAAAAGTATCTCTTAATGCTGAAAGTTATCACATTATAGCTTTAAATTTACCTTTTTCCTATTAAGAGTAGGGGTGACTATCTTTTCATATATTTGCGTTCTACTTGTGTCTCTGAAAGCAAAACAGAATCACAGTGAAATCCTTTACAATTTTTTAACTTGCTTTTCCCCCATTTTTCAACCATTTTATTCCCTTGACAAAAACTTTCTTAAGATATTTCAGTGGATTCCAAGTTAACTCAAAAGCTTCCTAGTCTTGAGGGGCAATGGAATATTAAATATTGCCTCAAGTATTACTCAGTGGTTCAAAACTTAGAAACCTAATTCAGTAACTTTAAAAGGTGCTGAGAAATCTATTTAGCGATTTAGAACTGAAAACAACTTCTTGCTTTCCTACAAGCAGTTTAAAACTTTGGGAACATAAGAAGCAAATCAATCAGCCTCAAAATGGGGAGTTGACAACTTTACAAATATACAGTAGTTTTGGTTGTCATTATTTAAATTTCCACTAAGACTTACTAAGAAGTTCATGTAAACATACCAACTTTCCAAAGGATTGTGGTGAATCCCAATTTTAACAAAGAGGAAGAGAAGAATGTTGTCTATAAAACTAATTCCTGGATGGGGAAGTGTGCCTTGGAAAGTGACCTGCAAGGAAAACAGTACTGGGCCCTGAATTGCTGAGCTGCTATGGAGATGGGCTATTGCTAAAGAATAAATAGTTGGCCTTCCAGACCCAACTGGGCTCCAATTGAATCAGGCCTGCCTCTGACAAAAGGGAGCTCACTTAGGAACCAAAACAATGGCTGGTGATCTTGGCTTCCATTCATACTTAAGTGTGAGCTACAAATAAACTGCTAGCTCTGAGTTTGGATGGAGCCTACATGTTGGTGGACCTCACAGAAGTATAATATAGTTGGAGCCAAACCATTGCTTTTGGGGAAATTCCTAAATTTTATTACCTACTGTGTCTTTTTTCTCAGCCCATTCCAATTTTTTCAGAAATGACGCATAATCACCTTCCTAGGAAGTAAAATGTAGCTGTGGGTATTCTGGAAGCTGAGTGAAAAAGGAATATGTCCTATAAAGTGTCAGTTTCCAATATAATGCCTCTGTCTTTCTCTCCATTGTCCCTGGTGTTTCCAAGACTGGTGCTTCTCTGTTCAGTTTCCTTAGTGAGTAAACTGGTAGGACAATGGGAGGAAAAGGCATTAAATATTTACTCACATAGACAGATACAGAGTTAATTCAATTTGCTGAGACTTACTGGGATTCTATAGCAAGAACCAGCATCTTTCCTGATAGCACCACAGTGACCCTCTCCCCTTCCTCTGGGTATATAGGTTTCATTTTCATAGCTCTGCTAAGTCAATTTCCTGCGCTTCACCTCTATGCAGTGACTAAGGTCCTTAGACTTACTTCAACACATCTCTTTATTCACTTCCTGCATTTTCATTGCTAATATTTGACTATAAGTCCTGATCATTTTTTTTCCAGGCCTACTAGAATAGGCCTTTAATTTATATGATAGGAAGAATTTTAATGATACCAGCCCCCCCCACCCCCCAGGACAATCTGTTCTTTGGTTATTCAACCAGTCACAGAGCTAAGGAATGCTGTAAGGGATTTTGCAGATGTAATTAAGATTATTAATCAGCCAGCCTTAGAAACAGGGAGAGGTTCCAAGCACAAGAAGGATTTGATGCAGCATTGCTGGCCCTTAGATATACAACCGCATGTGCTAGACACAAAGATATCTCTAGAAGCTAAGGATGGCCCTCACTGACAGCAAGGAAGCACAAGTTCTACCACTGCAAAGGACAGAATTCTGTCAATAATATGAATGAGTAAGGAAACAGGTTCTTCCCAGGGACTGTCACTATGAACCCAGTGGGTGACATCTCAATTTCAGCCTCATAAAATCCACAGCAGAGAAACTGATAGAGCCAACTCAGACATCAGACTTATGTAAAGTAATAAATTTCTGTTGTTTTAAGTTGTTGAGTTTGTGTAGTTAGTTATGAGAAAAAAAGTAAACTTATATAACTTGTTTCTCCACTTCAAGTCCTGTCCTTTCAATCTGATTTTCCAACTGCTGCCAAAGTGGTCTTAAAAATTAAATTCGGGCTCTCCCTGGTGGCACAGCAGGTTAAAGCACAGCACTAAGAAGCTAAAGCCACCTCAACATGAGTTCGATCCCACCCCGGAGGTGATCCACATGGTGCGGTAGACCTCTCCAAACCCGCCCACTGCTCCTCTCTGCTCCCCTCAGCAGTGTACTTCGTCAGTCTGCCTGTTCTACTCCCCCCTCTGTCTCGGGTGAAGCCTCTCACTGGCCCCCACACCTCTGGCCTGTACCTCAGTTCAGTATGCATAAACAAATCTTTAACAAAAAACTCAATTACTTACTCTGCTCTTTGTTAAGATGGGCTTTATTTGTTATTATGTCATCTACATATATATTTTATAAATAATATCATGTGTGAGACTTACACCTGACCTCATCTTTCTTAGGTGGTAGGTACCTTAAGTGGGCATCCATGTCTCATGGAGAAGAAAACCGGGACATATCTAGGATTGTCTGCATTGGCAGTATACTCAAGAAGGAAGGTAAGACCATGCAAAAAGATCAATACCTCAGCTAAGACTCATTAGAAATATGGTGAAATAGAAAGGACTGGAAGAAGTACTAAGAAAAGTGAAATAGGCAGCAATCTTTTTCTGTAGGTATGTATGTATGCATATGTATAAATAGGTATTTTAAAGGCATTTTTAAATCTACAATAATATATGCTCATGAGAAAAATTTAACCTGTACAGAAGAGTTAAGGCAAGAGTCCAAAACTAACAGCTTGTGGATAAATTCAATCAGTCGAAGGACTTTCTTTGACTCATACAGTATTTTATTTTAAAGTCTAAATGACATTAGATTGGTTATATACTTTCTGATTTACCATGGTCCACCCATCTATCACATGCTTTCCCAGTGTTACATTCCTCATTCACTCATTTATGGTTCCTGCTTCGTTTTAAGTCATATGAATTTGTGATTCTAACAAAGTATTAAGTCCCTACCATCTTCCTTGCTTCACACTGAGGAGAAAGTCTAGTGAACGGGGATTTGAGATCATATGAGGGAAAACCAAGTGAGGCCAAGATGATTATGAGGTCAAAAAAAGGGAAGTAAGTGTGCAGAAACTACAAAGGGACTGGTAATGATAAAGGCAAAACAGTCAGCAACAGTGAGACAGTTAACTTTTCCTGTTTCTTCATTTCCAACCATGGGCATGAGCTTGCCCAATAGAATCAGCTCTGCTGCTGCACTTAAGTGTGAGGCAGAGGGACCTGGAGGGGAGCTCCACTATTCTAACAGGGAAATGCCTTCCTCTTGGTAAATAGTGTCCCAGACTTGGTGGCCACAGGTCACACTGACTCATGACTCTGACCCCTTTCCTGAAGAGTGGGACTCATGGTGAGTAAGATCTGGACGACCTGGTCTTTTCTGGCAAATTTGGTCAAATTTGTGAAATGCCTAACGATGCTGCTATGAGACAAGCTGTCACTTTATGTGTGATTTTCTCCTTTAGCATCAAGATATCATTTCAATTACATAAAATGCATCAGATGCCCTGGAGAAATAACCATGACAAGCAATAGTATGCAAAAAAGAAAGCCAACTCATACCTTTTGGTACAGTGTTGCTTAGCTTGCTGTTTTGTAATCTCTTCCAAAGCAAGAATTGGGCTGCAGAACAGCTGCATTCTTTTCCTGATTATTCTTTGCTTCATGGCAGTAAGACTACTCCATTCACGAACAAACCTCAAAATCTAGCCAAAAATAAGAAAAAAGTTAACAATTGACCAGCAATCTTTCTTTGAAAGTGAGGCTACTTCAAAACATCAGAAAACAGACACTGATATCTTATTATACCTGCCCAACTGGCTTTTGAGTTTCATAATTTATAACTCCAATTTGACACCGTTTTCCTATTTTTGTTGTGCTCTGTGGCCAGTTCTGCAGAGATCACTTTCACCCCAAAGATCCTCTGTAGGCATGTGTATGGGCACCCAGCATCATCCTTGATGCACCTAGGGGCCAATAGCAATATGAGCTCAATGAGCTAGCAGTCTGGCCGTTGGAAACACACATCTCAGCAGTGGCCATCGCAGATCTGGTCTTGAGGACAGCAGGTCTGCCATGGTGACAGAATGACAAAGCAGTATCTGAGAATCACTTTGTGCCTGACTGTGTTGTTGTCACAGAGGGAAAATAGGGCATCAATAAATCCGGGAAATTTTTTATTAGAGCTATGATTATGCTAGTTTGGCCAAATATATGTATACTTGACTATTTTCTGAGTATTTAAGAATCAGGATTAGATGATACCAAAGGAAAAAGCCCGCTGCTACCTTTGCCATTAACACAGGTGTAGTTGACGCATGGGAGTACTTGATTTCTACTCAACGAGTAGAAACATACTCAGCATTTTCTTGTAAAATGTGGTACACTACCTGATGCCTCCCTAACCTCAACATGTTGATCTGTCCTAGCAGTGAATGGAAGTTGGCCACAATCTGAATGAAGGCCTCCCTACCGTAACTTGGGCGCAACCGCTCGCTGATGCTCCTGACAATGAATCAATACTCACCCAACAAGGTCTTATCCCTACTCTCAGAATCTATCGTTGTTAGAACTTAACCTTCAAGGATTAAATGTGATTCTGTCAGATACAAATATCACAGTTACTAATCTTGTGAATGAGAAATTAAATGATGTGAAGATGATTCTGTCCACAGAAACAGCAACCATAGGTGTGATCATTCGCCCAGGAAACAGATTTCACATTTATTCTTAGCATTGGGGTAATTCAGAGGCACTGCCTGGACTGATTAAAATGCAACCAGTGATTTGACTTTGTAACAGGCCACAAAATATCCTGCTTTTATTAAGCTAAGAGTGGTCATTAAAATTATTCGACAAATTTTAAGTTAAAACAAATGTACAGTACTATTCTTACCAGGGAGCGATTCTGTTTCAGCTGGAAACTTGCTGGTAAATCTTCCCAAAGGTCTAATTTTATATCCAAAGGAATGAAATTACAGTTCATGTGGTTCCCATCCTGATTATATTTAAGAAGGCATTATTAATCAATTTTGTCTGTAGTCACTAGTAATTATTTTAAAGTCAAAGAATTATATTATGGCATGCTGTGCCTAGTCTCCTAAAAGATAAACTGAAGGACAGACTCTAGAAAAGATTCCCAACATAGCTCTCTTGGAGGGACAGTAAGTGCAGGAGCCGGTAAGGCTCTCCTGGGCCTCTGAAGGCTCTATTGCATTCTCTCTGGGGTAAGAAATAGCATGTAGAGGGTGTGTCTATTATGCATGAGGTTTCAACATGAAGTACCTGCTTAAGAAAATCTACAGTGAAATCCATATTCTAATTCACTCAGTTAAAAAGTAACATTCCAGTTCCCACTGTCGCTTTGGAAAAAACATGCAAAAAGTGCTTATGTATCCATTTGAAGTTTAGGTATGTAATTGGGATTCTGAACTGAATCAGACATAGGATTCTATATGTGTGTATATTGATTGTGCTCAGGAGGGACATTTTATAGGCAGTGAACTACAGTTTCATTCAAATTTTTACTTCAGCTGTTCTAAGACAAAAGGAAAACTCTGTCTCAACTCTACTACAGCTGTGAAAAGACCAGTTTATGAACTGGTCTTAGTATCATTCTCTTAGTGTCATGGTTAGGAAATTAACTAAACAACCTCATATATAAAAGAACATGGAATTATTGAGAAGAGTCTTACAAATATACTCAATACTATTAAAAGCTAAGTCAAAGTGAGGTGGCCTGTACTCCACAGGTGGGGTTGTGGGGCCAGATGATGGGTCAGATGTGTTCAGCATAGCAGCAAACTCACTCTGCTCTCTACCAGGGATCTGCAGTTTCTCTCCTGTGTCCACCCACAGGGGGAAATGTACTGATCAGATAAACTGGGTCACAGAACTTTTCTGTAAAAAGTAAAAAGTTTGCAATTCAGGGGCTTCTTGAATCCTTAAGTATTTCTGCCTTGCTTCCATCTTTTGCTTTTGACCTTCAAGAACTTCTAAGGTCAGGTCCTGTCTCACCGATATGTGATGGCCTGAGAAGCTTGGCCTGGGGCTCCCCTCACATACGGGATGAGCCTGTGGCTTTAGACCTGCCTCTTGATGAGCAGAGGGAGCAGAGTCTTGGAACTCCCCCAACCCTATCTGGAGGTTCCAGAAGGTGGACTGGGATTTAAACTTTTAAGGGAAGTATTGGTTATGACTCTTAACCAACACTCACAGAGTTGGTGAAACTATGTTTCACTCTTAAGAGTCTCTCTCTTTTCTGAGGTCCCACAATGGAGGTTGCGTGGGGAGTCTGGTGTTCACCATCCTAACCATCCCAATCTTCTGGCAAGCTCTTCTAATCTTCAGTTAGGAAGATTATCATATGTTATTCCATCTAGGTGTAGGTGTACCTTATGTGATTTAGTATAAAACTTGTACCTGAGTTTGAGAAGCTCCAACCTAAATTATATTTTAAAAGGCCATCTTCAATAGAATTATCCATGAGTTTAAGAAGTTAGAAATCATATTTTACTTAGAAAGATTAGAAATTTCAAATGTAAGGTTAACAAAAGTATTTATAATTTCAGTAAACTTTCCTCAAATACAATAGTTTACCTAAGTCAAAGATTCTCTCATAATCCCTGATACTTTTCCAGGGGAACCAAAGTGTCAAATGTGTTTATGTAACAATAGCAAAACATTTACCTTTTTTACTCTCATTCTTGAACAAATGTGTAATGAAGTTTTCCATTCACAGGCAGATAAAAGAAGTCTACTATCTTCTTTAGAAATTGTGAAAATGTAAAATAATGTCACTCTTATATTAAATGTTATTTTAATAATATAATTTTTCATAAAAATATGCTATTTATGTAAATATGTAACGGATTTGTTATTGCTATTCTTCTGTCTATGAGTATTAGTTTTAGATGCCTCCTCATTGTTAATAAAATTAATCACCTTCATTGACATGTCTGAAGTTACAGAATCCACAAGATGCTTACCTTGGTATAGAGGTGAATCCGGTCAGTATGCTTGCTTGCACGAAACATTAAGGTATCATACACAGGCAAAGGGTCTGAACTCTTCAACTGTTCTAATAAAGAAGATAAAAGAGAACTTAAGGCTTAAATGTCTTCTAACCAATATAGCTTAATTTTCTGGGGTTAGAATGATGAAATGAACAAATATATCAACATATTTGACAGAGAACATGTATCTGAGCTTGAAATGAAAAAGGTGGGTAGGTCTCCTAAGGGCATGTGTGCTCATATGGTCATCAATTGCTCTGCACTTTTTTACTAAACCAACAAAAAGGTACCTCAGAATTAACTGAAAAGATACAAGATAGGCATAAGGAAGAACTGCCTGCCACCAAGAGCTGTTATCTATCTTAAAGGAATCTAGAATCTAGACTTTTGCTAGAGGGAATTTAATTTGAGAATGAATAAGCATAATTTTGATTATCAGCAGCAATACAGCTCCATGAAGGCCACTGAAATGCTGAATTGGACAGGCTGGTGCCTCATACCCATATGCAGAGGAACAGGCAGCTTCTTTTCTGACAATCTCTTTATTCCTTTATCAAGTCCCAGTACCTTCTGTAGCAAATAATAACTATCGTTAACATTTATCAAGCACTTACAGCGTGCTAGGCACTGTTTTGAGGTCATTTATTAATACCTTTTAGAAATAAGTAGTGCATTTTACGAGGAGGAAAATTAAGAATATTAACTTGCCCAGGTGACACCACTAGTGAGGAGATATAAGCCTAGTAATACAATTCCAGAATCTGTACTCTATCTCTGCTACAGTTCCCAAGTTACCTTTTAAAGTATTTTCCAAGATCTAAATTCTAGGGTTGGTCTGCCATCTGCCTGACCATGTAACTGTAGATTCCTTTTTCCAATCAAAGAACTGGTCACTCTGAAAACTTTGCTTGTGGAGCAGTTCCATCTTCCATAAATTAAAAAATATACATTTTCCCCACACTGTAACATCTTTGAAACTGCATGCCTCACAACCAGGAATTTCTATAGTCACTGCTGGCCAGGTGGCAGTTGTGAAGCAGCTGTCATTGCCTGAGCACAGGTGAGCTTAGTGACTTGTCACTTGACACAACACTTGAGGTATATGCAGTGCCATTATTATGTATATTGGGTATAATTACTTGAAAATATCTTCAAAATGTTTCACTTTTGACTTGATACTGAAGTGAAAGGTTAGCATGTATACAAAAACTTAGAGCTTGGATACAAAGCAAGAAAATATAAATTTGATTTTAAAGAAGTATCTATCATAGAGGAATAACCAACATTTCTTATATTCTTACAGAGGAGTAACTGAGTACTTCATGGAACCTAAAGAAAAGGCGATTCCTGCAAATAGAAGTAGCTGCCTTTTACATTTGGATGCTGTGATGTGCAAAATAGTTGCCTATTACATGCCAACCAAAGCAAGTGAAGACAGTAGAAACTGCCAAATCTCTCAGAACAAATGAAAGAAATGTCAAAGAAACAGAGGGTGGTATGTCCTAGTCTGGGTTATGTTAAGGTATTGTGTCTTATTTTAATTGGTAGAGCTTTTATCTTCTTAATATATATGAAACATGTGCATCTGAAAACCTTTACATATTTTGATTTGAAGAACTAAGGTTAATGTATTAATGTTTAAAGATCAGAAGTAATTCTTTGATAAATAGTAGTATAAGAAAAAGTCCAAGTTAGTTGATAATCTTGGTATTCTAGAAGCAAAAATGGAGAATATATTTCTCTTTGCATTGTTTCCAGGAAATATAGTTTAATGATTTGAAAATGAACATGATGTATCTTTTGAATATCTTTTGAATATACAGCCATCTAGCAGAGAACATACCACTCTGGTTCTAATAGAGCCTGTGTGGGTAGAAAAACATTTCACATAGTTTGCTTCCTCTAGCTTTCTGCTATTTTTCATGGAGGTCTATATTAATAGGAAGATTGGAAGCATATCATCTGTGTGGAATTCTTGGCTCTGTGATCTGAGATGTTAAAATAAGGAAAACGGTAGAGGGGGAAATACTGACATTATCTGGAAATTCTCAATGAAAAAGATTTCTAAAGGTCTAGTGAGATTTGAAAAGTACTTTTAAATAAAGCTAACATATCAATGGGCCAAATTACATTTACAAGCCAGTACTACCCTGTCATAGAGGAAGACATTCATGGTTCAGTTATTGATCCCCTAGTCTGATGATTAGTCCTATGAGCTATATGCTGTCCCATAACAAGAGTTTCACCAAGTCTCCAGGTCTTGGAACAAGGAAACTGGAGATTACTTGAGTATATGCTGTCTACTTAAAGACTGCTAAAATTAACAGATCTAAACAATATTTATTTGGAGATGTTCATTCATAAGATCGTGACAAATCAGAGGGGAGAAAAAGCTGAGGTAAGAAGAAAGGAGGATGCCTTGAGCTCAGAAATTCTTAAACTCATTTCATTTTAAAGCTATGAATTTGACTATGTCTAATTGAAGAGAAAAACTTCAATAGTCTTATCCAGCAATTTTGGGGTTGTTAAAATGAGAACATCAATCTGGGGGTTATTACAGTCACTAAGTGAGTATAAAGGAAAATAATCTGAAAAGTGCTGACAGTCTGTTCTGTTGAGATATATGGATATAAGGATATATGGCATACAGATTGTTACTAAGTAAGCACCACAGTTTTAAATACTGATTGGAATCAACAAAAAGTAAGTAATTCCAAAACATTACATGGTTGGTTACATATATAGTCTGATTCATATAGTTTTGAAATTATGCTCCTTAAAAAGATCATTTTAAAGATTTATTTACTTACCCATACTGGGGTACAGGTCAGAGGTATTGGGGGGTAAGAGAGGGAGACAGAGATAGAGACAGAGTGGGGAGCAGAACATGTAGATCCACTCAAATATACTGCTAAGGGGAACAGCAGGTAGACAGGAGAGGTCTGCTGTGCCAAGTGGGTCAGCCACCTGGCTGTCCAGGCGTCGGATTTGTGCTGTAGTGGCTGGCAGTACCTTAACAGCACTATGTCTTTATCCCTGTGTCACCAGCAAGGCCCTTAAAAATATTTAAAAAATAAACAAGCAGGGCCCTCCCTGGTGGCGCAGCAGGTTAAAGCACTGCACTAAGAAGCTTAAGCCACTTCCACATGAGTTCGATACCCGCCTGCCCGGGAGGAGATCCACATGGCGCGGCAGACCTCTCCTGACCTGCCCGCTGCTCCCCTCAGCAGTGTACTTCGTTGATCTGCCTGTTCTGCTCCCCACTCTGTCTCTGGTGAATCCTCTCACCCTCCACATCTCTGTCCTGTACCCCAGTTCTGTATGAATAAATAAATAAATCTTAAAAAATAAAAATAAAAAATAAACAAGCAAAATAAAACACCCTAAATTTAAAATTTATCAATTAGTGTAGTCATTAAAAAAATCACATATATGAAAAATCATGTATAATGGATTAATGATCTGTTAAGTGGCTGTTAATAATTCATCAGTCTTCCCATTTGTCTAAAAGAGTCCCAAATACTAAAACAACCCTCTCATTGTGTGAATGGGGTCACAAGCCTGGGGTGGCCCAAGTAGTTTTGTATGGTTTTGTTCTCTGTGTAATGTGTGAATGCCAGTAACTCTGTTCTTATAGCCATCTGGTGTTTATATATGAAGTTACAAGTTGTTGGTATTTTTAATATAAAAGCGAATATAAGGGAACTGGGACAGGTAGTAATCACAAATTTACTAATAGCATTATGTTTAAGTTGTAGATATTATTTGGACCCTGGAAATGAAAGCAAGACTTACCAGCACCTGTCTGGGGTATGAATCCAATTTCCCTCTCTATTTCTGGCATTTCTTCCTTGGTCTCAACCAACGGTGCAGCTTCTGACTGTGCCAAGAGTTGTTTATCACAGTCAGAACTAGTCTGAGATTCCTTGGAAGAGTCTTCCTGGAAATTCTCTCTCTCCTTTTTGTTTTTATTCCACGTATTGTTGAGGTTATCTATTTGCAGAATTAGTAAAATCAAACAATTCATACTTAATTTTAGATAAAAGTCATTATTTACCCCAAGCCCAGTTCAAAAAAGTCACAATTGGGTCTTCAAATACAACAACAAAGTTAACAATTTTTTCATTTTTTGAAAACATTTACTGGAAGTAAGTAAATGCCAAAGGACAATTCTAGGTGCTGGAGAGGCAGCAAGGATGAGCCAGATACAGAAAATCAGCAGGTAAACAAATAATAACAACCAAATAATAGGGTCATTTCAAATATAGAGGATAAAACAGGTTTTTGTGAGTAAGGGAAGGGGAGGGTTGCAGGAGCAAGCAGATTCCTTTGCAGCCAAAAGCTGTTGATCTAGGAAGCATGCCCCTGAGGCCTGAAATCTGGATTGGATCCCAAATGCAATTAGAAGCCATAAGAGAGTTACAGCAATGAAATAAAAATAACTTAAGTCTTTAAAGGATCACTCTGGAGGCTGTGCAGAGAAGGACCACAGGGTGCAGATAAATGGGGAAGCTACATAAGTCTAGAGGAAGATGATGGTAAATTCCAGTAGGATGGTAGCAATAAAGAGAGAGCAACTGGCATCAAGATATAATTGGAGATTATACAACAGAAGCTGATGTGTAAAGTGTGGGAGGAAAGAGAGAAATCAAGGATGACACAGGGAAGACAAGAAGAGAGAAGATGTTGTGATGGGGAATTGAGAATTCCATTTTGGACATGTTATGGATAGGGTATTCATTAGGCATCCAGGTGGACATGATACAATAGCCACTTGGTCTGTCCAAGCTGAAATTCTAGTGAGAAATATAAACCTGGTGTAAGGGTTGTATGATATCAAGTATAAATTATATATACTAAGATCAGAGCACAAAAGAAGTGTTACCTATCGACAGATAATAATGTGCAAGGTGTACTAAACTAAATTTTATCTAATGTACTAGAGACTATATAAGGAACCTTTTATAAGAACAGTATTGTCTTAATATTGTTCCTTTAGTTTTTTGGATTCCACCCTTTCCACAATGTTTCAAGGAAGACACTGATTTAAAAATTTAGATGAACTATAACTTTGCTTTTCAATGCTTTTAGTGTTAGAAACCAAGGTTAGAAATCATTATACCCAATTGTAGTAGTGTTAATCTAATAACTACAACATTTTTATATAGTAATATCACTATTACTTAGAATATAATTTTTCTTACACTGTTTCATATTTGCAGAAGATGTTTTGTTTTTTAGATTGCTTGACAGTCTGCTTATTAAATCATGAGTCTAGCAACTTTATTGCTGTTCTTGGGATTACAAAGAAAAAATAAAAGTATAAACTATTAAATTATGATTTCTGTTGTAAACTGCTTAAGATGTTATTTTGTAGTCATGAGATATTTTCTTTTTATTGCCTATACAATTGGAAAATGAATGAGATAATGCAAATTGTGAGGGATATTATATGGAATAAACTTGTGGTTCCAATTTAGTTCATAGACAACAGGTGTCCACATTACAAATATATCCATCCAGATGGTGGATTGTCAGTTTTGGTAGGAGCACCCAGAAATGAAAGAAGAAAGATTCAATTGCTGATTAAATTTTCTTTCAGCTCAAAAAATAAGAGAAAAGCAAGACAGGCAGGAAAGAATTGCAATATTAGAGCTTATATCTTAGCTGAGTCTTTGTTAATATCAATACTCTGAAGGATTCACATAAGATGGAAAAGTAGATGTGTACAATTATTGCAATGATAAAATAAAATGATCTCTCCCAATTTTCCAAATTGTCAATTTGGTGTTTTTGGTTACATAAAAATTGATTTCTAAAATTGGAAACAGAAAGAATACTAGTGATCCCTTTCTTAAAACAATCACAGGCACTATAAACTCATAGAACCTATCTAATTAGTTCTTTAAAGAAGAGCATTAAAGGAATTATGATTTGTCATGCAAGAAACACGGCACAGTGTGCATTTTACTAGACAAAGAAGCTTCACTGGATTATTTTTCTATTTAAACAAAAATAATCTATAATTTCTTTAAAACCAAGTATTATCTACAGAGGAGGAAAAACAGCAGGTCTATGACTATAAGGCATATTTGCTGCCATAGCAACAGAATTTTTACTCCTGCCCACTGAATTCACATCCTGCTGGCATTAATCAGAAATGTCCATTTGTGCCAAATTAATGCCATGTCACAGACACTTGGGGAAATACATTTTGGACAGAACTGGGAGTTTTTCACATTCCACAGGGGGGATAAAGTCAGTCCTCACTATGTGAAATTCTTACTCTAGCTTAAAAGCTAAAGCCAGTGCCAAGTCACATTAACCTTTGATAACAGCAGTTGTCTCTAAAATCACAGGTTATTTAAAGATACCACCATCAGCCCTCTTCCCTGCTCCCCCTCAAGGACTCACCGGAACTGACTTGAGGCATCTCACACATTTCACAATAAGGCAGCACTGAGTTATTGATATAGGTGCAGAAATCACACTGCCAGTCCTCTCCAGCAAGGGGTGTGGTGGTTGCCTGAGCCTTGGCCTCATGGACACCAAGCATGAGGGGGGCATTGGTTTGCTTGGGCTGGGAAGGCTTCTCCTCAGGAAGACTGCAAGGGTCATCGGTGGTGACCAATTTCGATCTTTTAGCTTCAGGTTCTAAATTGCCTTCACAATCAATGAAATTTTTTGTAGGTACCATTTTAGGTACTATGGTATATTTCTTCTGAAGTAAACTTGATTCATCACAGGAGGTCACCAACTGTCTTTTTTTAGATTTTGGTAAAAAGAATGATCGAATGTCATGCTGCTTTTCTTTTTCAAACTAGGGGAAAAAAAGAGTTATCAAATTAAGAGGCCATCTACTATGGTCCTTCTAAATGAAAACAGCTGAAGAAAATACATTCATTAACCATATTTTTTTATGTTTTTAATACCTTTTTGGAAATGAATTCTATTATACTATAATTTATCATGTATATATGTATACACACACCACACACACACACATATATATATATGCAGGATACCATTAATATATTCATATACTTCTTGTGTTTAACTTTATTTTTAGCACTGAAAAGATGTTGAACAATTTACATATAGTAAGTCATTTAATCCTCATGCTTCTCATATTTTAGATAATGGACCTGAAGTTTCAGAAAGTTTAGGTAACTTGGCTACAGACATTATGTCATAAATATATATACTTCATAAACTATCTGCTCTAGATGAATGTCAGGAACAGAAGGAAATTGTGTGTTAAAATATTTTAGTCAGGGGCCCTCCCTGGTGGTGCAGCGGGTCAAAGCACAGCACTGAGAAGCTAAAGCCACTTCCACATGAGTTCGATTACCACTTGCCCCGGAGGAGACCACATGGCATGGCAGACCTCTCCTGACCCGCCCGCTGCTCCCCTCAGCAGTGTACTTCGTCGATCTGCCTGTTCTGCTCCCCACTCTGTCTCTGGGGAAACCTCTCGCCGCCCCTGAGCCTCTGGCCTGTACCCCAGCTCTGTATGCACAAATAAATAAATCGTCAAAAAAAATTTTTTTTGTCAGTCGAAAACCTAGAAAAATATTTCAACCAAATCATAAACATAATGTCTATAAACAGTATGCTTCTGATGTTAGAATGTTTTCTTGACCAGAGAGCATTTTTCAAAGAACATGAAAGCTGTGGTGAGCCTGGGAATATTCAAAGATTGCCACACCACTTCTCATTCAATTTTGCAGGCTCTTCTCACAATATGACATTCACTTACTTCCTCTTTCCTGAAACTGGTTGGACTCTTGTAACTGCCTCAACCAAAAAAATACACTGAACGGGATGTTGTATGACTTCTGAAGCTAAGTAATTGAAGACACTATGATTTCTACCTAACTACTGGTACTTTGTCTCTCTTTTCTCTCTTGTGATGCTTGCCATGTTGTGAAGGCCATGCTACAAGGAGAAACCATGTGTGGGTGTTCAAGGTGACAGACCAGAGAAGAATCCAGGTGAGAGTCAGTGTCGACTGCCAGACATGTGAGTGAACAAGCCTTAAGATGGTTCTAGCTCTCAACCTTGGGGTCTTCAGCGAAGGTTCCAGACATCATAGAACAGAGACACATCATTTCCATTAAACCCTTTCTGAATTCCTTACACACAGAAACTGAGAAATAACACATGGCTGTGGTTACTTAAAAACTTTTTAAGTTTTGAGGTAATGTGTTATAACAGCAGTAGGTAACAAAGATAGATACTGTGGATAATAACATAATCCTATGTACTGTGAGAAGATATTTTACATAGTAAATCTTATTTATGCAGTAATTCTGCATGAAAAAAAGATTTGGCAAATTAGTGGAGACAGAAATAGTGGCTACTAAGGGCTGGAGAAGAAGGAAATAAGAGCTATTGCTAAATGGTTAAAGAATCACTGATAAATTTTCACTTAACATGGTTAAAATGACAAATGTCATGCTCTATATGTTACCATGATTTTTTTTTTTTTAATTCTGAAAAAAGAAACAGAAGTGGGGAAGGGAGAAGGGATAAAAGTAGATTAGGCTACTCCCATTTTGGCAAATTAAAACACACAGTAAATAAGCTCTCTCTCCCCAATAATGTGCAACTTTTATTTTGTATGACTTTCATTTCCACATTTCCATGCACTATTAAAAATTATATAATTAGTTGTAGAAGATACAGAATTTAGATAAAAAGTAAAGAAAGAAATCATTAACTATGAAACAAGACTTTAAAAACAATGGAAAAAGGAAATACCAAGAAGGGTAGAAGAAAGTAGATTAACATACTGTTAACAGAGTTTGGTACTTAGAAAAGTAACAAGGAAAGAAATATAATTAGAGACCTGGTTGCTCAAGGGGTTGAGTCTCAGTGCTATGAAGCTATCAGCAGCCACTTCAGCATGAGTTCAATCCCCAGCCAGGGAGCTGACCCACATGGCACAGATCAGTCCTGTCTTGCCAGCTGCTACCCTCAGCAGTGTATTCAGTAGATCTGCCTGTTCTACTTCCACTCTGTCTCTGATGGATCCTCTTACCCCTTTGCCCTTTGCATAAATCAAATAAACCTTAAAATAAATATATAAATAAATAAAATTAAATATTTAAATAAAATGTTCTAACCTATATAAGGTTATAAAGAGGGACGGTGGGATTCTGATAGTCCCTTCCACTTTGTTTTCCTCTTCTTTTTTTTTTGAAGATTTATTTTTATTTGTTTATGCATACAAAGATCTAGTTTATAGGCCAGAGGTGTGGGGGATGAGAGGATACCCCAGAGACAGAGTGGGGAGCAGAACAGATGGATCTACTGAAATACACTGCTGAGTGGGAGCAGTGGGAAGACAAGAGGTCTGCTGTACCAAGTGGGTCAGCTCCCTGGCTGGCAATTAAGCTTATAACACAGTGGCTAGTAATAGTTAGATAGTGCTGAAACTTTAACCCTGTGCCACTGGGAAGTCCCCTATCTCCCTTTTTTAATTATTGAGGTACATTGGTTTACAGCACAAAATATGATTTAGAGACATATGTTCACATCGCCTCAGATGTATATCGCAACACCACCCCATCACTACATATCCTTTCACTGCATACCATTGGTCCACCACCCTCCTTTGTGTCTATACAAGTTCTATTAAACCTTTAAGATGAACTAATGCCTATCCTTAAGGTCTTGCAAAAAAAACCCCGAAAACTTTAAAATACATTTTATGAGGATAACATTACTCTGATACCAAAACCAGACAAAACAAGACACACACAAACCCTACCCCTCAAAAACAAACAAAAAACTATAGACTAATTTTCCTGATGAACAAAGATGCATAAATCCTCAACGAAACCTTAATAAGGCAAGTCAACAATGCAACAAAAGGAACATTAACCATGACCAATTAGATTTATTTCAGAGACACAGGATGGTTCAATATCTGAAAGTCTGTCAGTGTAATTAACCATATCAATAAAAGGAAAGATAAAAATCATGATCATATTAAGGTATAAGAGTTGATAAGATTCAGTTTCTAGTTATGGCAAAGACCCCCCCAAAATGGGGACAGATATGGGCATATTTCAATATAATAAAGGCCATATATGACAAATGTTCAGCATATATCAATGGTGATAAGCTGAAAGCCTTTCTACTGAGATCTGATAAATACAAGGATGGCCACTCATCATTAAATAGAGCAATTAGTCAAGAGAAAGATAGAAAAGGAATCCAAATTGGGAAAGATAAAGTAAAGCCATCATTATTTCATATGACATGATAATATTCATAGAGGACCTTTAAGATTCCACTAAAAAGTTAATTGAAATAATAAGTCAGTTCAACAAAATAGCAGATTACAAAATCAGTATACAAAATGCAGTTGTATTTCTATATACAAACAATGAGTTAGAAGAGGAAAAAAAAATCAAGAAAATAATCCCACCTATAATTGCATCAAGAGGAGTTAAAGTTTACCTAGTAATAAACTTAACAAAGGAAATAAAGGACCTAAACAATGTAAACTATATGACATTATTAAAAGAAACAGAAAGGCCTCTCACCACCCCTGAGCCTCTGGCCTGTACCCCAGTTCTGTATGTACAAATAAATAAATCTTTAAAAAAAAAAAAAAAAAGAAACAGAAAGCACAAGGGTAGATAGTGCCTTTTCATGAATATAAGAATTAACATTGTCAAAATAGCCATCTTTCCCAAAGCAATATACAGGTTCAATATAATTCTTATCAAAATTTTTTTTAAAGATTTATTTATTTATTCATACAGAACTGGGGTACAGGCCAGAGATGCTGAGGGTGAGAGGATTCACCAGCGATAGAATGGGGAGCAAAACAGGCAGGTCGACGAAGTACACTGCTGAGGGGAGCAGCGGGCAGGTCAGGAGAGGTGTGCTGCGCCAATTCTTATCAAAGTTTTAATGGCATTCTTTAAAGATAAAGAACAAACATTATTGAAATTCATTCGGAACCACAAAACCAAAGCAAACTTGTATATGACAAAGCTGCAATAATTCAAACCATTTGGTACTTGAACACACAAACACACAGCATCAGAGTAGAATTGATAGCCAGCAAATAAATGCTCACACCCATGGACAGTTAATGTAAGACAAAAGAGCCTAGAGTATACACTGGAGAAAGGAAAGCTTCTTCAATAAATAGTGCTGAGAGAACTGGACTGCTAAATATAAAAGAATGAAATGAGACCACTGTCTCATAACATACATGAAAATCAATTTAACATAAATAAAAGACTTGGATGTAAGATCTGAAACAGTAAAATACACTCAAGAAAATATAGGCAATAAACTTCATGACACAGGCTTAAGTGATACCTCTGTAAATATACCTCCAACAAAAAGTAAAAACAAATGAGAATGAGACATTCGGACTACATGAAACTAAAACACTTATGCACAGCAAGTGCATACCTACTGAATAGAAGAAAGTATCTGCACACCATATATCCAGTGAGGGGCTTTTATTCACAACTGAGCTACAAAGGACTCATGCTACTTAACAGAAAGAATACAAATACTTCATGCCCACCCTGGTGGCGCAACAGGTTAAAGCACAGCACTGTGAATCTCGCAGCAGCCACTTCCCGCATGAGTTCCATCCCTAGCCAGAAAGGTGATCCACATGGCATGGCAGACTTCCCTGACCTGCCCGCTGCTTTCCTCAGCAGTGTACTTTCTGCCTGTTCTGTACCCTACTGTTTCAGGTGAATCCTCTCACTGCCCCTGCACCTCTGGCCTATACCCCAGTTCTTGTATGCATAAGTGATCTTTAAAAACAAACAAACAAAC